GTGAGTCTCTACAGGTGTTTATTGACTCATTTCGACTCATTATTCACTCATTCATTCACCCCTTATTCATGATGTGGTGGTAAGGTAAGTCTTTCACTATGTGTTTGTTAATATTTGATTAGACAGACAGACAGATAGACAGACATACACACATACAACAGCTAGACAAAAAACAAGAGACAAACAGACATGCAGACAGATAGACAGGAGACAAACAGAGAGATACCCGTCCCACACCAAAACAGGCAGACCGACACAAGAAAAAAATCATACAGACAGACAGACAGACAGACAGACAGATCCTCACCCACACTCTGCCACAACACACACTAATACTAAAGCTCTCTGGTACTTGTCCTACAGAGAGAAAAAAAATCTTGTTTACAGACGACTAAATCCCACACCTTTACCCCCACGACCATCACGTCACGACTTTGGGATTAAAATATATTCATGTTAATTTTTTCCCCATTTTTGTGGATTATCGCCTCTTAGAGTGAAAGCCCCGTTATAAAACTGTGGTCGATATGTAAAAATGTTATCGTTTTGTTTACGTTTTGTGTGTGAGTGAATTATCCCTGGGAAGAAATACAATTAATCTGTTTTTTATTTAATTATTGTAGTTGTATTTAATTGTTATTTATTATATGAATTATATGTAAGTGTATAATTCTTTTTTCTCTTTTATATTGATTATTATCCATTTCCTGTCGCCTAGTCTTCATCCTTTGACCTTCATAGCTTAATCCTACCCATATCAACCTATCCTAACATCCTTCACCCATCCTTCTATTCTCTCATCCCATATCCCTTTTATCCACTCAATCCTAATCCTCCCCTATCCACTTAGTCTCTCCCTTGGTATCCTGCCTCCCCTCCCCAGTTATCCATTTTTATATCCTTCTCATATCCTGTGAGTCCTTCGTTGTAGGATAAATATTATATCCTGTTCTTTTAATGAGAAATTTCCCACATATTGTACTTTTTTCCCACGAGTATCATTAATTTCCCCTACATCCCATTAATTTCCCACACATAACATTATTTTTCCCCTACATCTCATTATTTCCCCCACACACCCCAGGTCCTTATACCAGAGCGCTATATTAATACCTGCCAGAAGTATTACTATAGGAAGGAGAACTATATACCGTACACCTCCTTCCTCAGGTAATAATGACAAATAAGGTCACCTGAAGAATAACCATCCCAGCTTATTACACTTAAAGATTAATCACCTTAATGCTATTTAGGGGAGATGATGTTAGGTTAGGTTAGGTTAGGTTATTACGAGTTAAAAAATAATTACAATGGAAACTTGATAAAATACCATTATTAAATACATTTTCTTTACTTATCGTCACCAATACATGTTATCACGAACAACCAAAAATGCAAATAAAAATTCCAACATTTTCTTAACCATCTAGGAATCACCTAAGACAATTCCCACAATAATATAATACTAAAAAAAATATCTAAATCTATCACATTCCGATAACAAAAGATGACAAAGTGTAGTGTAGTGTAGATAACTGGAGCAGGTAGACACACGTTCCTCTATCTGGTGGGCGAAAGGTTAATTGGCACACGACACCTTACCTAAGATCAAAGGACACCCGGTTCGATAGTCTCCCGTAACGATATAGTGATGGAGTTCTTTCTTATAGGGAACTGGAATTTAATTGGAGGAGGAGGAGGAGGAGGAGGAGGAGGAGGGTTCATTGGAGGTTTAACTTGAAGGTTTGTGAGGCAAAGAGTTATATGGTCTGATATATTGGCTAGGCTATATGATTCTAATTATTGGTTAACACTAACACACACACACACACACATACACACACATACACACACACACACACACACACACACACACACAGGTCGTCACGAGAAGGACTATCACATGTCGGGGCCAATACGAAAAGCTCTCTCAAATTACTGTCATTAAAACTGTGAGTTGATCGTGAAGAGGGGAAGGCTCATTACCTCTCTGTTGTGTGTGTGTGTCGTTAACTCTCTCTCGGGGTGAGGGACAGAGAGACGAGAGAGAGAGAGAGAGAGAGAGAGAGAGAGAGAGAGAGAGAGAGAGAGAGATGTGTATTATTACTTTAGTCTATTGGAGGCGGTCTATTGGAGGCAGTTTATTGGAGGCGGTTTATTGACAGTGTAGTAAGAGGGATCAGAGCAACAAGGGACAAGAGGAGGAGAAGGGAGAAGGGAGAAGAGGAGGAAGAGTTAATTTGTTGTACAGAAGGGAAGGCTAATGAAGACGTGATTCAGCCTAGAGAGGGAGAGAAATGTACCTGTATTGCTGTAGATGGTAGAGGGTAATGTGCACTGTACCTGTCTGTACCGTAGTAGTAGTAGTAGTAGTAGTAGTAGTAGTAGTAGTAGTAGTAGCTGTAGTAGTAGATTGAAAGTGACCTACCTATCCTATCCTTGAGCTCAGGCATCCCACCAACTAATAGAAACAAATCTAACACTAACACACACACACACATACACACACACACACACACACACACACACACACACCTCAGCACCACAACCTTTCTCATGCTCAAACTTACACTCAAACTCCTCCCTGACCACTAGACATTACCCTAACCTAACCACGATACACTTCACCTAACCTAACCATTAACCACGCACTTCCCTAACCTAACCATAGTACACTTCACCTAACCTAACCACGATACACTTCACCTAACCTAACCACGATACACTTCACCTAAGCTAACCATGATAAACTTCACCTAACCTAACCACGATACACTTCACCTAACCTAACCACGATACACTTCACCTAACCTAACCACGATACACTTCACCTAACCTAACCACGATACACTTCACCTAACCTAACCATGATACACTTCACCTAACCTAACCATGATACACTTCACCTAACCCAACCACGATACACTTCACCTAACCTAACCACGATACACTTCCCAACGCCCCTTACAACATGCTTAAGCCTTGATTGCCGGAGTTAAGAGACGAGCAATTCACCTGTCGGGATTACCTCAATAGATGGCGTTCAATTACGAGAGAGATATGGCGCAGTCATCGTTATACCTGTGTTGATTACAATACCTGGATTTACCTGACTTAAAGATAGGTTGGGTATACACTTGAAATATTGTGTCTTAACGGGGAATTATGAGAGCCTTACTCAAGCAATAACTCTAACTATACACTCGAGTACAACCTAACCTAATCCCTTCAAGGATCACCACACCTTAACCTCAAACACCCCTCCCTACCCTCCCCGTCACCCCCATCTACCCACCCACCCATACCCACACTCCCACCCTACCCTCCTCCACCCACCCTCATCCTCACCCAACCCTCCTACTTCCTAACCTACCCTCCCCTCCACCCGCCCACATGATCACCAGGCCGGAACCCACTAACTGGTCACTGTGTACACTCACCGCCTGGTACTCCCACGGCCATCGACTGCCTGAAGAACCTTACTCACGCGATCCCTCTCTCTATCACGACACTTGCGGCATTTACGTTTAATCTCTACCCTCCTCTCTTCCTCCCCCTCTTCCTCACCCCACACCCCCACCCCTTCCTCTCTCCCTCCCTCCTTACCCCCTCCTCTTCCTCACCCAGTAACCTTTCTATCCCTTCTCCTTACACTCTCCTCTTCCCTCCCTTCCCTCCTCCCTTCCCTTCCTCCCTTCCCTTCTCCCCTTCCCTCCTCCCCTTCCTTCCCTATCCCTCACCACTACCACCACCAACATACACTTGTATACAGTATTGTACACGAGTCTTTTGAGTCACAATGAAGTTTGTATTCTGTCTGGCTGGGTTATGTCTTATTGGTGAGAGAGAGGGAGAGAGGGAGGGAGAGAGAGTCTAGGTACAAAGAGAGGGAGACTGGAGGTTGAACAGAGAGATAAAGAGAAAGAGACAAAGAAAAGAGAGATAGAGAGAAAGAGTCAAAGAAAAGAGAGATAATAACTTTTGTACACAAGGCTGGAGATGAGTGACCTCCACCCGGGTAGGTCACGTGTTAAGGTCAAAGGTTAAATCTTGGCTCCAGGCGTCCCTGTTGGGAGAGAGGGGAAGGAGGGGAGGGGAGCGGAGAGGGGGAGAGAGAGGAGGGGGAAAGAGGGGGCAGGGGAGGGGGCAGTAGGGAAGGTGGGGAGGAGGGGAGGGGTACAAATTCATTAAACTATGACCTACCAACTTTCTTTAATAAAATCTTAGAGGTGGAATCTAATGCCCTTTAGTGTAACAGATTCACGTTTTAAAAAGGAATCGAGTGCTATTTAGTCAGATTTATGTATTTTGAATCCCACAAGACTAAACCCCACGAACTGAACACCCTTAGGATCAAACTCCCTATAGCATAATAAATTATTGTATTCTGGATCCAATTTACCACCTTGTATCTCTTGCTTGGGATCCAACTCTCATCCGTACTATAAATTCCTGTATCCTGAATCCCCTTTAGCATCCAATATACCTTAAAGAGGATCCAATTCCCTTTAACGCAACAAATTCCTGTATCCTAACCCCCACAAACTCACCAGACAGTGTTTAATTAATACTAAAAGGATTTCTTTGTCGAGCTCGCCTCCCAATGTATTGTTTCTCATATCGTCTATACTTTTTTACGAGAATTTTATCCCTTTAAGCACTACAGTAATTGTAGTGAATACAGTATAAGGGAAATAATTACATACATGTACCTTGTAATCTGGACAGGTTATAATAATAATAATAATAATAATAATAATAATAACAACAACAACAACAATAATTACAACAACCTACAACAACAAAACAACAACAACAACTAAACACTAACAACAACTCCCACCCCCACAACACAAATCACTCCACACATTAACGTCTCTAAGTGGGAATCAGAAGAGTACACCATTTGCCTTCACTGGCGGACAAGAGCAGGAAGAAATATCACCTCGGCTCTATTAAAAGAAATGAGTACGAGTAATATAGTGTGAGAGGCTGACAAT